TTACATGTCATCGGGTTATTAACCAATGTCATAAAACAATATGTGTACTACTGTTTCATGAGAAACTATTTGTTTTGTAAACTTTCACCTGAAGTACAATTAAAAAAAAAGAAAAACAACTCAGCACAGAAAATTAAGTGGAACAAAGAAACTGTGAACAACACACACAAAAAAGACATCAAAATGACAGCACTAAACTTATACCTATCAATAATTATGCTGAATGTAAATGGACTAAATGTACAAATAAAGAGACAGAGAGTGGCAGATTGGATAAAAAAACATGATCCGTCTATATTCTGCCTAAAAGAGACACACCTTAAACTTAAAAGCACAAAGAAACTAAAACTCAAAGGATGGGAAAAAAACATATCAAGCAAATAACACTCAAAAAAGAGCAGGAGCAGCAATATTAATAACTCACAAAATAGACTTTAACGTAAAATCCACCACAAAGGATAAAGAAGGACACTATAAAATGATAAAAGGGTCAAAACACTAGGAGGACATAACTATAATAAACATTTACGCACTCAACGACAGGGCTCCAAAACACACAAAACAAACTCTAACAGCACTGAAAAGAGACGGAGACAGCTCCACACCAGTAGTAGGAGACTTCAACACACCGCTTTCAGTGAAGGACAGAACATCCAGAAAGAAGCCCAACAAAGACACGGAAGAACTAAATGGGACAATCAGTCAACTTGATCTCATAGACATATACCGAACATTCCGCCCAACAGCAGCCATGTATAGTTTGTTTTCCAAAGCACATGGAACATTCTCCAGAAGAGACCACATAGTAGGCCATAAAGCAAGCTTTAACAAAATCCAAAGCATCAAAATACTACAAAGCATCTTTTCTGACCATAAAGCCATAAAAGTAGAAATCAACAACTGAAAAAGCAAGGAAAAAAAATCAAACACATGGAAACTGAACAATATCTTGCTCAAAAACCACTGAGTTATAGAAGAAATGAAGGATGGAATAAAGAAATTCATAGAATCAAATGAGAATGAAAACATCCTACCAGAACCTTTGGGACACAGCAAAAGCAGTGCTCAGAAGTCAGTTTATAGCAATAGATGCACACATCCAAAAAGAAGAAAGGGCCAAAATCAAAACATTAACCCTACAAGTGGAGCAAGTAGAAAGAGAGCAGCAAAGAAGCCCTCAGGTGCAGAAGAAAGGAAATATTAAGAATTAGAGCAGAATTAAATGAAATAGAGAAGAGAAAAACAACTGCAAGTGTTAACAAGACCAAAAGCTGGTTCTTTGAAAAGAGCAATCAAATTGATAAACTACTGGTCAAACTGACAAAAGAAAAACAGGACAGGAAGCAAATAACCAATACAAGACATGAGATGGGTGATATCACAACAGACCCAGCTGAAATTAAACAAATCATAACAGAATACTATGAAAAATTGTACTCTAACATTTGAACACCTAGTGGAAAGGGAAAAATTTCTAGAAACTCACTACCTACCTAAACTAACACAAACAGAGGTAGAACAACTAAATAAACCCATAACAAAAGAAGAG